TTACTGCAGTCACACCAACTTCCAGCTCAATGGAAACATGCTACTCTCTTCATAATCTTCAAAGGAGGCAATAGCAAGGATCCAGCAGGCCGCCGACCGTTCGCGCTACTACCAATATTATAGAAGGTAAAGGAAGAGCCGGTGAACGAACAGATGAAGGCGCTCATGGATAATAATAAAATACTCCATGTAGCTTAACAAGGGCTTCGTAAAGGCAGGTCGTACGCATCCAGTCTTCTGATATCATGGAAGTGTTGGACATGCTGCTGGGACCGGTGCATCTAAAATTTACATACTTTCAAAAAGCCTTCGACACAGTACTACACGCATGTCTAATCGCAAAGGTTGCGGTAACGGCTTCACTGAGCCACTTCAATCTTGGCCCAGAAACTATCTTGAGAATAGAAAGTTGAATAGAGTGCACGTGATTTGGCGAGTCTTAACATCGAGAGTTTCAGAGGTGATCATCTCAGGTTCACTTCTCCTCCTGTTTTCCTTGAGCGACTCTTTAATGCACGATTAGCTCGCCGGCATTGATCTACGCAGACGATGCAAAGATCTGGATGTCCGCTATAGGTGAAGATGACTTGACTGAGCTCAAAAAAGACCATACATCCATTGAGGATTGAGCAGTGAGAAACGGTTTAAATCTTAACCAACAGAAATTTCACCTCATTTATATTCTACCTCACATGACGAAAAAAGACTTTCACCTTAACTGGAATTCCGCTCCATCATGTTTTCTCAGAGCGCTATCTCGGTTTTAATTACCACCTAATTCCTCCACATCAGTTCAAAATGTGTAGGGGATGCAGACAAGGCAAATGCAACTGTTCGTTTTCTTAGAAGACAAATTTGTGCCTTCACTCTAGGATTATTCTTGACGCTGTTCAAGACCATGACCCAATAAATTGCAGTTAAGAACGTCGTCGCAACCTATCTCCATAAAAGAGACACAAATTTCTTGGATCGAGTGCAACGAGCAACGAAATCGGTTATAAATTTGAAGAACAATCCTTACGAAGATAGACTCCAGCACTTTGGATTATTCAACGTAAACTACCGGATAATGAGAGGTGATCCGATTATGGTGTACAGCATATTAAGCAGGCCAAACCATCCCAACATGCGCATCATACCTCTGCTTCACCACCACTCCACTCGTGGAAGTCCTCGAAAAATTGCGCACCAAAGAACTAATACTCACCAGGTTCGTGCACACTTATTCTTATTAGGATACATTCCAACTTGAAACGATCTCTCAATCGAGGTGACTACATACCAATCAGTGGAAAGCTTTAAGAACAGACTTGATGAACACGTACTCACACACGGATCATCATCTGCCTCGTGGACAAGCTGTTTCTGACGCATGCTCTGAAACTTGCTAGTCCTTATGACTACAGCCTCCTCACATCACTAACTGAATGCATTTCGCCTATTATCTCTGTTTCTCCTCTTGCGTTTGCACTCCAGTCCTCTCTCAAACTTTTCATTACCAATTAATAAACTAAATTATCCATTATTTACTTAGTCTTGAAATCTTACTCTTATTAGCATTAAATTATTCTCCTTAATATTCGCCACATTTCAAACCACTTATCCACGGTCTGTTAATTTGAAAGCTGCTGGTATCCAGAAACCCTACTACCCTGAAACAAACACGTTTTCATTCAAATCACTGGACACACAAACTTATAGCCAACAACCAACTGACAAAAATTAGGCAGTCAAGTGCAAAATACCTAGAACACTACCGAAACAGCAAGAACAGAGCACAAACAATCAATTAATTTATCCTAGCTCGTGAAAAAGATACTAAATTTTAGAAAGCAAGTGGTTTGTACTGTTTCGTGGAAATAAAGATATTGTATAATGGATGTTACCATGACAACTCTGTTCCCGCGCTTTTCATTCCCAATATGTGTAACGCATTCAAAACGTTACTCTATCAACTCCTGGTTTCGTTTGTCAGTTTGTCTTAATCACACGCTAGCCTTATATATGGTTGCTGCCTGTTTATTCCAATATTGCATGTAAGTGCATTCTATGTGCTTACTGAGTCGTCGGCTTCTTGCAGATAATCTCATACACTGCTCTTCACATCCCCCTAGCACAAAAGGTACCTACTGGCTAGACGCAAACCAACCAAAGGCTGAAGTTGCATATGTTGTGTGCAAACATTAGTTATGATGAAGTCCCTAAACAGTATGGCTAATTATCGAAACCCAACCTAGTACAAAATGTTAGTTGTATTCTAGAAAAGTATTATCAGCTGAAACATGAAAAAGAATTGTTATTCGAAGAAATCGCAGAGTTGCTTCGCCACTTACAGTTGGCAGAAGATGCCATCGAAGAACACTCAGCAAGAGAGGATCATCTGAGTCAGAAGCTTCACAGGTATAGTTTTAGAAGATATGGTTTATGTTGTCGTGTATATGGGATATTTATTCGATGTCAATTATTTGTTGATATTTTTAGATAAAGTTTGTTTATCACTTCCATCTCATCAGATTACTGTCACTCATTTATCCTTGTTTTAGGGCTGTGAGTAGGCTCGACAGTTAAGTTTAGAAATCGAATTTCATACCCTGATTTTGAGTCACTTGACTTATTTTTACTACGGTATTTTGAATAACGGTGTATATTTTAACTGTAATACTACAGTAAAGGGTAGATGATCATGGTACTCTCGAGGCCTAATCAACATGGAGTTCCAATCCTTGTTCGGAAAGGTAGTGTGTTAGTTTGGATCACACTTGCATTATACCTGCATTAAAATGTTGCAATGTGCTAATAATGGGCTTTCTTTTTCATACCAGATGAGATTATGTGATTGATTGATCGGGGTTATGACGAATTTAGAGGAAATGGAATACAGTGTATAGGTAGGCGTCGGAAAATTAGTTGTTACAAACATAGTAATACTACCAGTATGGGATTTAAATTGACAATTCGATCTCCGTGCTAATGTGCTATGGCAACTTGTACAAATGTACATACGTACGAAGTTCTAAATTGTAGCTGACTGACTGACACAACGATACCTTTGCCGAGAGATATGTGCGTTCGTAAATATGTGTAGGTTTTGTCGTTTGTTATGCTTTCTTATTTCTGTGGTCGCAGCCAAACCGCCACAAGGTTCTTATTACGTATGGCAAATTAAAGATGGAAGCAGCTAACATACTTATTTACCGTTTGTCTAAAAGTGTGTTGGAAAATTATTCACACTGAACGTTTCAACCCATACTAAATTGTCTTGCTTCTTGTTTATCCGCCAACTTTAGCCTTCAAAATGTTCCAGTTTTGATCACCACAAATAAGCATGGAATCGATTACTGATTTCACCATGAATAGCGACAACTATCACACCACTTTCAATGATGGATAATATATAATATATAACTACGGTTTAGTCCTAAATATATTTGGTACTATACCCTGTGTCTTATTTCCCCAATCATGGTCTTCGGTTTTTACGGCCATATATTTCAGCTTTGTCGAATAAAGTGTGCCAAACTTTTGTTTCCGGTTATGCTGTTTTCCGTAGCTCCAAGCTGCTCACTGTTGAAAGCTTTGTTCAAAGGGTATTTAAATTGTCCTGTTATTCTTGCCCTTATTGATAAAATTTCCCAGGGTAGCTAATTGTATGAATGTGGTGGACACTCGGTGTTTGTTTTGAATCTAAACAAATTTGGATTAAATCTTACTCGCCACGCAATAGCTCGTTCATTTTACATTATTATGATTCACGATTTCAATGTAAAACAGCAATCTCCATAGTTCTATGATGAAAAGTATAACGATACAGCCTAATATCGAAGGGTAGTATCCTGTTTAGGAATTCAAGATTGGTAGTCTATGCACCAGAATTTGACTTTTTAAGAGGTACGAAGTTATATAAATGGTATCATTTTGTAAAGCCAGGCATTAGTTTCGAGTTTCCATATGAAATTCAATACTGAAACACAAGTATATTCGACCAAAGAGTCACTTACGGGAAGAGCACTGTTCCCTAGACTTCATTGGTAGCCATAACTCAAAATCAATACTTGCCTACTTACGCCTGTTACCCTCAATGGGGCATGGGTCGCCCACCAGTATTCTCCAACCTACTCTGTCCTGGGCCTCTCTTTCCAGTTGTGACCAATTTTCTTTCATTTTTGTCACTTCTGCCTCCATTTCTCGGCGTAACGTGTTTCTTGCCCTTCATCTTTTCCGCTGACCTTGAGGGTTTCGAGTGAGGGCTTGTCTTGTGAGGCAGCTGGGTGCTGTCCGCAATGTTTGTCCTATCCACTTCCAGAGCTTCTTCCTCCACTGGAATCTAGTTTGCTCTTTCGCAAATCAAAATCACTTTCGATTCATGTATTTAGGTCAACTGTCTTCATTCAGACAGAAGATTATGACTGTAATATCTGGATGAGGACTGAAGTAAGTAGTAACTCAAAAACCTAGTTTATGGATTAGTACTTATTAACTTTACATGGTTTATTGTTCTTAATATGCTACTAGTTTATGATTCGAAGTCTCCCTCACTCACAGCCATTTTTGGTCCACTCATGTATAGTTGTTAACTTCTATTTATCGGTGCAATTCGGTCTGGTCGAGTGTGTATATAAAAGAATGTCTGGAATGCGAAGCACACCTTAGATTGCTGGTCACTGGTCTTTGTTCTTCCTCGTTGATTTGGGCAAGTTAGCATTGAGCTATCGTTCAACCATAGAGTACTCAAGTCTTCCATCCTTATTGTATATTGGTTTCTGAAATGTCATCTGCGTATTAGCACGTGTAAAGGACACATCAATGGCCAGGAATTCATTCCATGTTCATGTTCTTGCTAACTCCATATCATTTCGTACACCTAAATGTAATTTTATTACAGTTCTGTATTTTTAAGTTATCTCACTTATTTCTCAATTGATAGGGTTTCTTCAGCAAAGCTGTTTGTCTTACCAACCATCAACTCCCAGACATCCAAATCTTCTGATCATTTTCATAAGTTATTTTTTCTGATTATTGAGAATAATCATTTTGACACTCGGTGTTTGTTTTAAATCTAAAAAATTTAGATTAAATCTTACCTACCAAGTAAGAGCTCGTTCATTTATGAATAACTAAGGGAGAAAGTTCTCGGAGTTCTAGTAAGAGGCCGTGACCAGTGGAGTTCAACGTTGTCTGGAGTAGATAGTGACTGCCGAAGAAAGTGGGTGAGGTTGCGCAAATTTACCTACTTATCTCCTCATAGTGCTGCAGAGACTTTCCAAGTACTTTTCAAGATTTGGTATGTAGAACAAGTACCGGCAGACGAAAAGCGACAACTCATCAAGATACCGAAGAAACGTGATCTCATTTAGTGAAAGAACTGCTGAGGCGTCATTCTATACTCAATGCATTCGCTTGATCTTTTTCTGTTTCATCATGTTCATTCTCCAGGTCTGTCAAGAAATAACACATGTTCTCTGTGATTTCTATCAGTCATATTTTAGTTCTTTAGGTTAGATGCATTTATCATTGTTTTTAGGTCATTTTTAAAGGCTAATCTTACAACTTATCTATCTAGCACACAGTTTGCTTAATGCTGAATCCGCATTTTTTTCACGCACTGATAATATCCGTCTTATTTATATTGAATGTGCTTCAAAATCACACTCTTGAAAACAATTGCCTATTCGGAAATTCTTACATGTTATTTGGGTAGTGTTTTCTGCATTGAAAATCTGTGTAATATGTTAAATTTTTATTAACTAAAATGAATTTTCTTTCGAGTCTTTCGATGCGTCGTGCTGCTAGCGCAACAACCATTATTTCTTATTTATTTGTGTGTATATATAATTTGACCTGTTTCTCATTTTTGAATTCTATTCTCGTGAATTTTTTCGCCGGTTAATGAAATGAAACTTACTTATTTAAATTCTTGTACCAAAGGTAAAGCGATTTGTTAACACCTAAAGTCTGTCTGTCTAATAAGTCAGTCATTGACAAAATAAGGATGTACATAAATAGACACATCTGTATTCTTTAGTATTCGAAACATATAATTGTACAATTATTTTATTTCTTTAAACATGTCTTGCAAACTTTGTCTTGAGGTTTGCATATACGATCAGATGCACAGCTCTCTCGTTTATACGATTGAAAAATCACCGGTAAAACTTCTGTTCTTCTATTAACTACGAGTTTTACCCTTTCAAGGCAGTGTTGCTGATAGTGAGGAGAAAATCCAGTCACTTTGTGAGTAGTGCGCAAATGAAATATGATCAGTTTTATGGATGAGTTGATAAACTGGTCCTGTATTTTGAAATATTGACATGGATTCTGTAGTTGATAATCCACTACAACACAACTCTAATCACTTTGTTAGATTGAAAATGTATAGAAAAACAAGACACTATGGAAACATGATTTTAACAATTGAATGTAACAAAATTATGACATTACTTTTTAGAAAATATCTAGCGAAACTTGTCAGTAGGAATGTATTTGTACACTTATGCTAACAAAGTAATAATTATTTGTACTGAAGTGGTGAAATGAACTCAAACGTTCATATAGGAGGACAACCATCTGGATACTGAAGGCTGAAGGTGATGTCAAACATTTTGGAATACAAAACTGAGTGTGCTGCACTTGCGCATTCCATCGGATGCGTGATGGATGAACAAAATTCTAAAATCGAGCCGTCATACATAGAAATATCAAAGAATCGAATAATTACATTGATGATCACAGGTAACGTAAAATAACAGAAAAGACAGAAGAAAAATAACCGCATAAAATTTAATTTGGGGTTGATAGTCAGACGCAACAACATATTGGATAATCTATGTTTTGTATGGCCTATCAGGCTATTGGTTGCACAATTACATTGTGACGACTGGATGCACTTTGCATTTTCAAAACTTGGCATGTAGAAAAGCCTGTTTAAATCGAAAAATTCAAATACGCTGATAGATTTGACATTACTAATGCAATCGGATATATAAGAATAATTGAAACTAATGTTAGACGGCTATTGTTTGAAGTCGTGGAACTTACCTTTGCTTTCACAGTTCTTACTCAAGTATTCGTTATCGACCCTACCTACGTTTCCAGCCGCTCAATGTCTTGACTAAACGTAACTCATCCGTTTACAGCTTAGACCTGTCATTCATCTGATGATTGAACACCATAATTTGTCAAGGTCAGTTGACTTGGTAGATGACTTATGCTAGATCCCTATGGCCACTAATCTGCTCTCCAGATCAACCTACACATTTATTAGTATTCCTCGATAGACAGCTTAACGCAGAGTCTCATTCACCCAGTCCGTTTTGAGCATTACGATTTCTGTTTACGAACTATGAGTGATGAATTGTGCTCGCCCAATCAATAGCGCTGAAAATATAAAGTTTTGAACGCCTATTGCAGGGAAAGTAAATGATGAATTTGTTATTAAACGATTGTATTCGGCATATACAACATGGAAATTTTGCATTCTGGTCGACTTAGTTTTCAACAATGTAACATTTTATTAAGAGTTTTCATTTAAACCCCTGAAAAAGTATCAGTAGGAACCCATTTCACCCAAAAAGATTCGTAAAAGCTATTTAACAACCAGTCGTTTACCTCAGTACTCACGTTGCATAGTCGATTTGTAAGTACGAATCATCAAGAACTTGCAGCAGAGTTTACTCTTGGTTGTCTTCAAAAGTATGGTTTACTATCGATTGCTAGTGTATACACTTCCTATCGTGCCTGGCAGTTCACATTATAAAAAGTCACATATACGGATTATAGAATGGATTGCCAATATGTCCACTTAATTTTCCCGAACAGTATGGTTTAACGAATACAGAAGCCTAGCTCTATGGGAATGCAAAGGATGGATGCACGTGAGCCATTGTAAACATGTGTGAGTCATGTCGTTCGAAGTCTTTAACAACTCTTGACGATTGTCACGCAGAACCCAACCAGAGAGATTTCACCGACTAACATGGCTCATCAAGTTGCCAATAATCTCACCGACTAGTACAATGTTTTCTCTTGTCAGCCCCTAAGTTTCTTCCAGCCTACTTCTACAACAGTCGGTATCGCCCATTGAATGAGATTTTATCCACACCACAAGTGACTGAAATCACGCTGCAATGAAAGTGAATAATAACTTTCCTTTTCTGAAAGTCTCGTTAACAGCTGGATTCCTAATGCCAGTTTCCTTGACAAGCCTGAACAGTTGTCTACTGCTACCTATTGCTGCTGCCTTCCTCATCTGTTTAGCTTTCGCGACCCACTACCGCTCACGACCATTGTGTGGGCTTCGTATCAGCCTGTTTTAATCTGCCTCCGCTCCTCAGTGGGTACAGAGACAGATTAAATGATTTTATCAGTATCTATCAGTTCAGCAGATGTTACTGTAATTCGTTGCTTCTCGCTAACCGTAGGTATCACTTAAATGGTTGGCTAACTGTTTTTATAGTTGTTTCTGAAATGTACTCTTGGATTATATACCATTAAGTAAAACTAAAAGAGGTTTCTTCCCTGTGTTTTTTGAGTCCAGTGAGCCTTAGATAAGTACGCGCTCGTACTGGGGCACGGTCCAAGCCTAGATATACACTCCAGAATGAGCAGGAGTTTCCCATCGAGACATTTCATCGGTCGTTGATAACAATGTGGTTTAGTCCAGCATAGAGTCGATTGTGGAGTTCGCCATATAAAAAGATGTTTATCCTTTTGCTTAACGTTGAATTTCAGTGGTAGACCTTATGTCAGAAGGATTGCTTACTGACCTAGAATATGCTGATGACATAGTTCTATTTAGTGAAGACGCTGACAAGAGTCAGTCTTCTGACTACCCTGAGCAACTATGCAAGCATGTTCGGGATGCGGTTCTCACCCTTGAAATGCAAAATGTTGCTTCAAAATTGGGGACCCGAACTAGTAATAGGGAGTGAAGTAGTTGAGCGTGTCAACGGCTTCACTTATCTCGGAAGTCTCACCAGTACTGACGGCCTAGTGACGGACGAAATCGCAGCTTGGATAAAGAAAGCTCGATTGGCTTTTGCCAACTAGCGTCATCTATAGCGAAGACGAGATATCCGTTTGCTAACTAAAGGAATGTCTTAGAAGCATTGCTCGTGTATTCTGAGATAACCGCGTAAGCAATCTCATTGTTAGGTAAGGAGGACAGTAATAAAAACTATTCATACTTTTGTCATCCATCAACTCGACCGTAGCTGCTACCTTAAGGTGCTGGTCGGGCTTACCTATCATGATGACCCAACCGAGCTATATTGGCTGGAGCATATGCTCCTGAAGGTTCTGCGATGCCAGGCAGGTCGATTGGAGAACGCTGAGACTTAAAGCACTTACTCAAGGTCTGATGGCCAAGTCGTACTGCTGACTGCAGAGGGGTGTGACAGCAGTAAGGTGTTTTCCTCGGACAACCAGCATCTGCAGCGATGTTGCCTTCTCACAAGGAACGAAGGGTTAGAAAGTTCGGCACTGAAAATGCCATACCTCACCTTACCTCACGAGTTTCCGTCTCCGGCCGTAAGGTCTGCCCACTAAGGGCTTTTAAGCGCGGAGCTAATACTCTAAAAACCTTCATAAAAATGCCGTGCGTGACCGGCCTCAATCTGTTGTCCTTCAGGCTCTGCGGTCACACTCCAACGCTAACCTACCTTCTTTTTCAGGTTCCGCAAGAAATACGCTTCCACAGTGTGGGCAACCGGGAAGTAACATCCGCCCTCATACCCATAAAAGCACACGAGACCAAATCGACCACACGAAACATTATTCCTGGTCCCCTGAAATCCCGTACAAAATTACACATTGGAGCTTTTAATGTTCGAACCTTGTGCCAAATAGGTCAACAGGCTTCATTAACTAGAACCCTGGAACCCCATTCCATCAGTGTATGTTGCGTCTCCGAAGCGCGCGTACCAGATCCGAGTAAAATCATCAATTTGATTTCAACTAGTGCAGATACAGAAACGACACGATTTACGCTCCGTGTTTGTGGAAGCCCTAATGTTTCTCCCTGTGGTTTAAATATAGTATTGAGTTGTCGGGCAGAACTAGCTCTCTTAGACTGGATCCCGGTAGACAGTCGCTTATGCGCTGTCCGGCTAAACGGGACGGTACTGACTCGTAAAGAAAGGGAAGTTCGCCGGTGCCTCTTCGTCGTATCTGCCTACGCTCCCACTGACTGCAGCTAAGACGAAGTGAAAGATGAGTTTTACAGAAAGCTGGAGGACATCCTCCAAAACGTTAGGCGCTCTGATATAGTAAAAATGGCTGGAGACTTCAGTGCTCAAGTAGGTATATTAGGTGAAAAGGAAAGACACCTAGGTGGATCTTATGGTGTCGCCGCTAATCAAACAGATGATGGCGACCGTCTGTTGCAACTATGCTCAGATAACCGCCTATTCCTAACAAACACTACCTTTAGATATAAGGGAAAGCACCTCTGGACATGGCGACCCTCGAAGTCGTCACAACGCTGGACCCAACTAGATCACATTGCCATCAGCCACCGATGGAGGGGTTCGATAGAGGACTTTCGCTCGTTCTGGGACACATTTTTAGATTCAGATCATGCTCTAGTGCGAGCGCGTATTTGTTCGCGCCTTACTGGACGCAAGGAAACCTGTTACGGCTCCATTTACTGATAAAAAAGCTAAGAATATATTTCAGGAACCACTAGAACAACAGTTAGGCAGACATGTACTAAGTGATGCCCACCCTGAGGCAGCTTGAAGTGATATCCAAAAAGCAGTTGATACAGCAGTGATATCTTCTCGTAAGGTAAACCATAAGGTTAGGGTGAGTCCGTGGATCTAAGTAGCATCTAGCGAACTGATAGATGCTCGAAAACTCATCCCGCCTGGCTCTGAGTACGATGAGGCGTGGAGTCAGCTCAGGCACAGGCTGATAAAAAGCTTTTGAATTGATCGAGAACAATGGTGGGTAGCAAAGGAGATGGAAAAGGCGACGGAGATAACTAACAGTAGGCAACTATTCAGACTCATCAAAGAAACCAGTATTAGGAACCCGGATGTTAGTGAAACTATCTTGGAGAACGATGAGACTATTATTCATTATCAATCCGCGAGATTGAATCGACTGGCAGAACACTTCAGCCACACTTCGGTTGCTCGCGATCCCCAGTCATCCTGAATGGCAAATCGATAAAAGTCCTCCTAGTCTTCATGAAGTTGAGGAAGCGATAGGAAATCTGAGGAAGGGGTGAGCAGCGAGTGCTGATAGATTGACCCCTGAGATTTGGTGGTCCTGTTTTAGCAGCTAGATCTTTGGTGGAATTGGGGAACTGGACGTAATTCCATCCGACTGGTCTCAATAGTTGATTGCCGCAATTTATAAGGACAAAAGTCCTCTTGTGACAATCACAGGGAAATAAGTCCAACTAATATAGTTTCTAAATTTTTAGCCTCGATAATCCTTAGACGCCTAACTAGAGCTCGTGAAGAGCAGACTAGAGAAAACCAGGCTGGTTTCAGACCCGGACGTTGCTGTATTGACAGACCATCTCTCCACACTACGACAGGTCTCGTAACAAAGACATAAACCTAGGCGTCCAACAATAGTTGTCTTCTTGGACCTTGAGGTGGCATCTGACTCTGTGGACCGTGAGGTTCTGTGACAGTGTGTCATTAAAAGGTGTTCTAAAAGTAGTTCAATAACCTCGTACAAGCTCTCCACTAGAACACTAAAGGTCGAGTGAGAGCCTATGGAGAACTGTCATTGAAATTCTCTACTTCAAGTGGTGTCGGTCAGGGAGGTCTACTCTCTCATTTCTTGTTTAACTTTGTCGCAGACATCCTTTTAGAGTGAGCACTATGCTCGTCAGATTTCTCAGTGGTAGACCTGTCAGGAGGATCGCTTACTGACCTAGAATATGCTGATGACATAGTTCTATTTAGTGAAGACGCTGACAAGAGTCAGTCTTCTGACTACCCTGAGCAACTATGCAAGCATGTTCGGGATGCGGTTCTCACCCTTGAAATGCAAAATGTTGCTTCAAAATTGGGGACCCGAACTAGTAATAGGGAGTGAAGTAGTTGAGCGTGTCAACGGCTTCACTTATCTCGGAAGTCTCACCAGTACTGACGGCCTAGTGACGGACGAAATCGCAGCTTGGATAAAGAAAGCTCGATTGGCTTTTGCCAACTAGCGTCATCTATAGCGAAGGCGAGATATCCGTTTGCTAACTAAAGGAATGTCTTAGAAGCATTGCTCGTGTATTCTGAGATAACCGCGTAAGCAATCCTGTTGTTAGGAAACGGGTACTAGGTAAGGATGGCAGGTTAATAGATGGAGTATTGAAATCTCATCAGTTGAGGTGGTTGGGACATGTGTTTCGTATCCCTAACACCGACTGCATCAATGAGATATGTTTTGCGATAGAGGAACAGCTTGGACAAAAGCTAGGGGCGGCCAAACCATAACACGGCAGAAATCCATGAAGTCACTGACAAGTGGACTGAGTCATGTTGATAGGATTCGACTACCTGTTTGGGTTCCGCGAGATGATAATAATCGATGGTTAGGGACCCTAAGTGACATGGCTCAAAATCGTTTGCAGTGGCGTAGGTGCATACATTCTTTGTGTTCTATGAAATTCTAACCTGAATTCCTCATCAACTCTATCTCTGTCTTTCTAAATTTACCTAACTGAATCATACTTCTTGAATTACATCTTCGAACCCTAATCTCTCTGATTACTGCTAATACTTTTACTACCTCTACTACTATGGCATTTGAATTGACAATCATATCTCTGTGCTAATGTAGTATGGCAACTTGAACTGATGTATTTACGTGCGAAGTTCTACGCTGCTGTTGGTGATTATGATTTTCATCGGTGGTTGATGACAATGTGGTTTATTTGAGTCCAGCATCGATTCGATTGTGGAGTTCGCCATATCAAAAGATGTTTATCCTTGCGCTTAACGTTGGTGTTTGCCAGAAACAGGCAGTTGTCCGTGCGTAGTCGCCACAATCTGTTTGGTGAGCCGTGACACCATGAGAGACTCCTGGGTGTCGTCCGGTTTCATCTAGTCTGCCTACGTGAGTATTAGAATCACCAGCCGCTATTACTACATCAGAGCGCTTCGTCCTTTGAGCAAGGTTGGGAAGCTTGCAGCAAAATTAATCTCCTACCTCAACGAAGCCGCAATCGGTGGGACCGTGGGCAGAGACAACAAAGAGGCATTGGCGAGCGTCCCAATCTTCCCGACTTCTCACCGTCCCGTTTGGCCGAACAGATTGTTGATAGATTGACTGTGATAAATGGCTTAGGGATGTATTGGTGGTGAAAAAATTGATTAACTATTTGGGACACAAAGAACTCAACATTCACGTTTTACACTCACTTATTATTTTCCAAACTTTCATTTTCTTGATTAACCTTACGAAAGTTAGTCCCATTCAACTGGCTTTTTATAGTAACTGATGGAAATAAAGACAGGTCAATACTTTCCTTCTTCTCATGCTTCATTTCGCCGTTGACGGTACTTCTTTTCTTTTCATACTTTCCTTTATTACCAATAATAAATGGGTAGGAAATTAATTCCAGTGATTTACAAATAATTTAATGGTTTTTAAATTGTGTTTGTAATCCATATTTTGAGAACCCTACAAACTTGACAACTTACGGATGGAAATCGAGAAACGGATTGTCGAAAACTTATGATTTGTCCTATGGAATGTTTAGTCGAACTTTCAGTGCATCTATTATTGGTAAGTTAGTTCGTTGGCGTTTTATCCCTACGTTGCATAAAATCAGATGAATAGGTTACTGCCTACTCCTCATTGGGAAGATATATGCAGCAAGCTCCACTCAATTGCTGAATAAACGCTACGAAATATGGAACTATTGTAAGTAGGAACCACGTGGTTAGAACAAGGGTATTCGAAAATCTCAGGGTGATAAGTATTCCGTGAAATGGGAATCGAATCACACAACAATCTTATGAAATAATGTCACCTAGTGTTAGTACAGAAATGTTTTTCAAAACTCTCATATTTATACCAAAAGGATGCTTATAAGACTGGAAAGATTGATTCCTTCTACTAAAAGAAGAAATAAAGAAATACCACATGAAAGTATTTGTAGGTTTTTACCGCTTTGCAGCAACCATTCTTACATCGCAAAGAGTGAACATTTCAGTAACCGATTTAAAACTACCAAACACAATTCAAATATTCTAAGTCTACTGCAACAATCCATCTTTCTTTAGGGTGGGTTTTCAACATACTTCTTGTTGTATTGGATGTATGAGAGTCCTTTATTTTCACTTCAGTTATCAAGAAGGAAGTTCTCTGTCACAGGAAATAACATCGTTTCGATGATTCACACTACGGACTTTTATCGAGTTCACTCGGTGGTTCACGGTCGTATGTTCGCATTACATTTTTTCATTAGTCCAGTTTAATGTTCAAATACTTGAACAATTTCAGTTGAATCATGATAGTGTCACCGAACTATTATGCTTCATATTCAAAAGTAATGAACTTTATTCATACCGTATAGCAGTCCTCAATAAAAGATTTGCAGTACAGAAGAATAAGAAACACTGTCTTATTACATTTCTTACAAAGCATATCCAATTACTTACTTTGACAGAACGCTTGATTTGTGAAACTACCTAAATTACATACCACCTAACTTCTAAAAAATTCATGTATACGTATGTCAAACGAAGCATTTCATCCAATGGACTATTTCGCTCTATTTCGTGGTCTTCGGTTTCTCGACCATGTTTTTGGGGACATGCTGGCAAATGGATTTCGGTGATATTATGATCATTGTTATAGCTGAAAAGTCATGTTATTAACATTCCAAGAACAGAAAAAACCTATCACATTATAAGGTGCAGTGTGTGATGGCTATTCACGACAACTTCGCTCTCTCATCTATCACCGAAATCTTATTTCTTGACTTACCCGAGAAAAATACAGAAGGCGCTGAAAATGATCTCGTTGGAAAAGCATATCCACTGACGAATGCCTACAATATAAAGTGAAGACTTAGGTGAGGAGTTCTACAATATAACGATGGAAATGAAGTATCTAAAGTAAATTCACTGATTAGCGTAACTTCACTTTTTGTTTATAGAAAATTCATAACAATGTGCACAGTCACAGAGACAATCATCGAGATAACCTACCATTGGGAATCGTTCTCGAACATCTGATGGTACATTGCTCCAAAGTGTTGGTGTTCTCTGAGAATGCATTCCTATTCTAAGTAGTTCAGAATAATAAAAAACAAGTCTAATGATTAAAATCAGTTGAGTTATCAGTTATTTCGCTGGTTGCTTGTTTATTTACTGTATTTCACACGATTATGGAAAGAGTGCTGCTAGTCTGTGAATGCCACTTTGGGATGTCCAAGCAGAATAAATAGACAGAAATAAAAACAATAGACAGCTCGGTTAATGTCTGTTACCACCGACAAAGTTTTCACTAAACCAAACCAAACCAAAATATTTAAAGTCAATGATTTGAAATCATAGGCAGTAATTACTACGGTTTCCTAAGAATAAAATTGTTCCAACTAAATGAGGTCACATTGATTTTGATTTTCAGAGTTGCCTACTTCAGTAAACTGTATAGTTCTGTAGCCTATGAAACATTACTGTTGGAATTTTTCGAGCAGTAAATTATCTATGTGGGCGTAAGAAAGCCTTCATGAATTGTCTTTAAGATTGAGACTTAAACCAATGGTCAATAGCAGGATTATTAGCGACCTATTTTCCTTCCTTTTGAGGACTAAATGGCATATTTCAAATTCTATCGTCTCATTTTCTCACCGTTATGTTTACCAAAAACTGGATGGAAACAGACTTTAGGTAGATTAAAATCTTTCGCAAAAGTCCCGTGACTTATAAAGAAAAACTGACATTCAAAACCGCAGATGTAACTACAAATCAAAACAATCTTCGTTAGCAGAACGAAATACAATTAACTGAACTGTTTTATTGATGACAAAATTAAAACATATTGGGGTTACTAGCAACAGAAACAATAATTTACAATCAAATATTTATCTAAACACTCAATTATTCTTTGACCACATTTTAGGTACTAACATACATTGATTCTTACGAATCCAGTTCATACCTATAAATGAAGATGATTAACTTGACCATAACGAGGAACTAATGTCACTGGATTTGAATAAAAATTATTTACACAGATTCATATGCCGAAATTTGAACTCATTTTCTCACAATCACACCACAAAAACTGGGTCAAACAAATGAACATGTTTGTATTATTGTTTAAGACCGAATTAATAGTGTGATATTCTCTGTCATTGGTTATTGTTTTACTCTACTCGGTCAAACTTACATTAATGAAATTCCCCTGAACCGTTTGATGGTTAGATTAAGTGTAGAAATTCATAAACTTGAAATTCACATTTAGTCAGTCAGTTGCAACGTAGAACTTCGTACGTATGTACATAAGTTCATGTTGCCATACCACATTATTAGGACAGAGACGCAAATGTCAAATCAAATGCCATAGTGATAAAGATGGTAGAGGTATTAATGTTATAACAAGGAAGACTAGGGTTCGAAGATATTATTCAAGAAGTATAATTCAGTGAGACACGGTTAGAAAGACAAACGTAGAGGTGCTGACGGATCCAGAAGATTAGGATTTGAGAGAGCTCAAAGAGTGGATGCACCTGCGCCATTGCAAACGATTTTGAGCCATGTCGTTCAAGGTCTCTAACCATCGATGACTTTCGTCTCGCGGACCCCAACCAGGTAGTCTACAACTACCAACATGACTCAGTCCACTTGTCAGTGACTTCATGGATTTCTGCCATGTTTTGGTCTGGCCGCCCCTAGCTTTCTTCCAACCTACTCCTACACCACAAAACATAGCTCGTCGAGGCAGTCGGTGGTTAGGCATACGTAACACATGTCCCAACAACCTCAACTGATGAAGTGTCACCACTTCATCGATTGATCAGCCATCCTTACCTAGTTCTCGTTTCCTAACGACAGCATTGCTTACTCGGCTGTCCCACGATATACGAGCAATGCTTCTTAAACATCTATGATCGAATACTAGTAACCTACGAACATCTTCTACTCTTAACGGCCATGTTTCACAGCCATAAAAGAGAACGGAACGAACTGCTGCGCAGTACACCCGCCCTTTGGTTAGCGAACGGATATCACGCCTACGCCATAAGTGACGCAGGTTGGCAAAAGCCAATCGAGCTTTCTGTATCCGAGCTGAGATTTCGTCAGTCACCAGACCGTCAGCACTGATGATAATCCCCAGATAAGTGAAGTGATCAACACGCTCGACTACTTCACTCCCTATCACTAGTTCAGGTGCCGAATCAACCCAGTCTTGAAGCAACATTTTGCATTTCGAGGGGGAAAACCGCATCCCGAACATGCTCGCATTGTTGCTTATGGTAGTCAGAAGACTCTGCATTTTGTCAGCGTCTTCACCGAATAGATCTATGTCATCGGCATATTCTAGATCAGTAAGCGACTTTCCTGGTAGAAGGTCAACCCCTGAAAAATCTGACGAGCTTAATTTTAACTCTAACAGGATGTCTACGACAAAGTTGAACAAGAATGGAGAGGGTGGACAGCCCTGACGGACACCACTTGATGTAGAGAATTCAGATGACAGTTCGCCATATGCTCTCACCCGACCAGTGGTGTTCGAGTAGAGTGCTTGTATAAGGTTAATGTACTTCTTTGGTACACCTTTCAATGACAGACACTGCCACAGAACCTCACGATCCACTGAGTCGAATGCCGTCTTAAGGTCCAGGAACACGACTATTGTCGGACGTCTAAATGTGTGTCTGTGTTCCAGGACCTGTCGTAGTGTGAAGATGTGGTCTATACAACCACGTCCAGGTCGAAAACCAGCCTGGTTTTCTCTAGTCTGCTCTTCGCGAGCTCTAGTTAGACGTCTAAGTATAATCGAGGCTAACAATTTAGAAACTATATTAGTTAAACTTATTCCCCTGTGATTGTCACAAGAGGACTTCTGTCCTTTCTTGTAGATTGGGACAATTAGCGACTGAGACCAGTCAGATGGGATTACGTCCATTTCCCAGATTCTACCTAGGATCTCGGTCAGTTTAACCGTTAAAACTAGGCCACCATCCTTAAACATCTCAGGGGTAAGCCTATCAGGACCTGCCGCTCTACCTCTCCTTAGATTTCCTATAGCTTTCTCAACTTCATGTAAACTGGGAGGACTTAAATCGATTTGCCATTCAGGATGACTGGGGATCGTGGGCAACCGAAGAGTGGCTGAAGGCCAGTTGAACTGATCCCTAAAGTGTTCTGCCCATCGGTCCAGCCTCCTAGATTGAGAATGGATAATAAGACCATCCTTTTCCGAGATAGTCTCACTTACATTCGGGTTCCCAATACCGGTTTCTTTGATAAGGCGGAAAAGTTGTCCAGTGTTGCCTATCGCCGCTGCCTTTTCCATCGCTTTTGCTTTCGCCACCCACCACTGTTCACGGTCGTTACGTAGGCTTTTTATAAGTCTGCACCTAAGCTGACTACGCTCTTCATCATGTTCAGAGTCAGGTGGGATGCGTTTTCGAGCATCCATCAGTTCGGTGGATGCGACTGAAATCCACGGCTTCATCCTAGCATTGTGGTTTACCTTGCTAGCAGATACCATTGCTGTTTCCACAGCCTTCTTGATATGATTCCAACCTGCTTCAGGATGGGAATCACTTGCATGGCCGCCTAACTGTTTTTCTAGTTCCTCCTGAAATATTTTCTTAGCTTGATTATCATCAAGTAAAGTCCTAAGAGGCTTCCTTACGGTGTCTTTCCTACGTCCAGCAAGCCTCAAACAAATACGTGCTCGCACTAGGGCATGATCTGAATCCAAACATGTGCCCCAGAACGAGCGACAGTCCTCTATCGAACCCCTCCATCGGTGGCTGATGGCGATATGATCTAGTTGTGTCCAACGTTGAGACGACTTCGGGGGTCGCCAGGTCAAAAGGTGTTTTTCCTTATGCTTAAAATTAGTGTTTGCTAGAAATAGGCGGTTATCTGAGCACAGTTGCAACAGACGGTCGCCATTATCTGTTCTTTGAACCGCGACACCATAACATCCACCAGGTGTTTTTCATTTTCACTTAGTCTACTTACTTGAGCATTAATGTCTCCAGCCATTATAACTATATCAGAGCGCTTAACTTTTTGGAGGAGGTCCGAAAGCTTTCTGTAAAACTCATCTTTTACATCATCTGGGCTGCAGTCAGTGGGGGCGTAGGCAGATATGACGAAGAGGCGCAGGCGAAGTTCCCTATCTTTCCGAGTCCTTACTGTCCCGTTCAGTCGGACGGCGCACAAGCGACTATCTACTGGGATCCAGTCAAGGAGAGATTGTTCTGCCCTACGACTCAATGCTATACCTACACCGGCGAGGCCCCTAGAAGCAGCATCAGGGCTACCGGATACACGAAGGGTAAATCGAGCTGCTTCTTTATCTTGACATGGTGAGGTCAAATGAGTGATGCTACTCGGATCCTGTATGCGCGTTTCCGAGACGCAGCACACATCGATGGAACGAGATTCTAAAGTCCTAGCTAATGATGCCTGTTGCCCTATTTGACACAATGTCCGTACATTGAATGCTCCAACATGTAGTTTGGAACGGGGTTTAAGGAGACCAGGAACGACGTTTCGCAAACTCGCATCGTTTGCATTAGCTGTGCACTGTAATAAATGAATGTGAGAAGAGTTAGTTGTGGAGATAAGAGAGGTATTAGGGAATGTAGGAAGGATTTGATTTTGAACAATTTTGTCTCGTGTGCTGTTGCGGGTATGAGGGTGGTTATCACTTCCCGGCTGCCCACACCGTGGAAGGTTGTTTCTTGACGAACCTGAAAAGGAAGATGGATGAGTGTTGGTGCGTGACCGCAGAGTCCAAGGGACAACTGCTGGAGGCCGGTCACGCACGGCCTCTTTATGAGAGGTATTTAGAGGATTAGCTCCGTTCTTAAAGGCCCTTAGTGGGCACACCCTTACGGCCGGAGACGGAAATCCGTGAGTTAGGGGAGGTGTGAAATTTTTAGGGCCGACCTTTTCTAACCCTTCCTTCCTTGTGAGGAGGCAGCATCGCTGCACATGCTGGTTGTCCGAGGGAAACACCTTACTGCTGTCACACCCCTCTGCAGCCAGCAGTACGACTTCGCCCTCAGACCTTGGGTAGCTGCTTTTAGTCTCATCGTTCTCCAATCGACCTGCCTGGCATCGTAGGACCTGCAGGAACATGTGTTCCAGCCAGTATAGCTCGGTTGGGTCATCACGATAGGCAAGCCCGACCACCACGTCAAGGTAGCAGCTTCGGTCGGGAAAATTCACATTTAATGAAAAGATAATTAAAGACTTAGCACTTCAAGTAAAAACTATGAGTTATTAATTACTTGAAGATAGTTCATTCCTTGTCTTGTATTAACTTGAATATTACAACCATTACAGCACCAGTTAAACAAAGATACGAGAATGAGTGAAATGAGTTGGATTTAATAACGTCTGTTATCAAGTTGACGAGTTTAGTGAGAAACATTGACGCCAAGTATACATACATGATTTCCAACAACTGATGCGCTGTTCACTTAGCTACTAAGTCGCGATAGTCACACACAAATTTGAAGAGAATATGAATTTTAATTTGGTTCGCAATGGCATAGTCATCTCCTTGTTGATATTCAGTCGAAATCAACAGCGGAATAGCGCTAATCGTTAAAATTTTTATTGATAAGCATTTAGATATAAATTTCTCGATAACTGATTTCCAACAAGAGTATGACTAGGTTTACTGTTGGTTGATCACTAGGTAGTGACCAATGTCGTGTGTCAGGTCTTGCTCGGTGCTGGTCGAATCGTATCGATGAAGTTGCGATGCGGTTAATTATCCAGGGGAACTCCTCAAGATCAAACGTACACACTGCTGATGAATGCCAGAAAGCACAAAACCTAGGTCTGGAGTTTCCTGTCGACTACCTTCAACCAGCATGTTACGTGCGACTAAATACTTAACACCGGTGTACATTTATTGCATTAGTTTGCAACTGGCAGATTGAGCACCTCTTTTGTCTAGTATTCTAATTTATAAGTGGTCCGAATTTTTTCACTAAGTGTCCGTGTTAAATTTCTCTACATAATTGTTTAGCGTGAACCAAGTGTAGAACACCTATTTAAACGTCATTTTGCTATTTTCATTCATTTATCAGAAATTGGTATACCGACCACATAGTGCGTGTTCAAACCTTTTAGTTAGAAAATAGAAAAGTCAACCAACATCTATGTGAATCATTTAACCGTATTTAGTAAAATCAAAGTCGAATCAAATTAGAAAACAAGTACGTAGCTGGGTGATTTCAGTTAGTGATGGTGATGCCTTCTTAATGACTTGTTTTCTATCGCCTTTATAAAACAGTGACTTCGTTACTTAATTTCCGATCACCTACGCCTTTTAAACACTCCTTATTGACTCGAAAACATTTTATTCAGCAAGTTGATGGAATTAGTAATGATAAATATTTTACCGGAGATATATCCTCAACGTGATAACTTTTGCCATATTAAGGATGACTTGAACATAAAACTGAAGAGCTTCATTTTTTCTGTCGAAAATCTAGGTAAATACAGGCTTTTTAAATACAAATACGGAAACTTATTTATTAATAATGAAACTAACCCCTCATGCGATAGAATAGGTCGCTTATTTTCTTCAGCTTCATCAAAGTTCGAACTGAATATCTGCATTAGATTGATCTGCAGCCGTCAAAACATTTGCTACATTTAACCTACGTTATGCTCAATATCCTCTACTTTTGCACGAAGTTCACAAAGTTCAGATGTTGCCTGCAGTATGTTAATTTTCAAACAAATCGAGACTTACCGTAGATATTTCGTGAAACTTTTTAGTTACCTGCTCTTCATTTCTACTCAATAAGTTCTATAAGAGATTAAGCTAAAATATTGTCGAAGATAACAAACCTCACAATCATGAATTATATTGATAAGCTCTGAGATCTGTTCATCCCTTTTTGTTAGTTGTTTCTCCAGCTTAATTATCTGCAAGTGTAAACATATAACTCATCATTTGCGTAACTAGACTGAACGAACCGAACGTTATCTGAAAAAATTAACTGTTCCAAAGCGAGAAACATTATGTCGGACAAAGTGAACGTCCTGATCATCAACTTGACGAATAACAACTGCACACGATGATAGACTAAAGGACAACAATAGCCAACCAAGATTGTGACCGACAGCATAAGCTGTTAGTCACATGTGCAGAAATTCTAATATTTCGCTCTAACCTGACGTTTGGACTGAATGTGTTGACCGGAAGAACAATGCAACGTCCACAAATGAACCATCAAGATCAGCGTATGAAACTTCACCATAACCACTAGACTGCCTCCAACCTATTCCTATGCAGGCCAACATTGAGCATGGAAGTAGAAGGTAATCAGGCGTACTTACTTACAAAAGCTCTAACACCATCAGTAGATAAACAATCAAAATTTTATCAACTGATTCGCCCCCTCTGCCTTGTACCCTGTGTTTGATCACGGAAATCAAAACAATAATGTCTTCATTCCATAGTGTATTCAAGTACTACATTGTATCCAAGCTGAATCCCAGTCAAAGTTTTTAGTGATTAGGCGCTATTATTTGTCGTCTACATAAGGAGAATGCCGAGAACACTCCAAATAAAATTAAAACCATCAAATGTAAAACGAGAGTTTCCTATACTTATTTAGCAATAATAAGCGACTCTATAATCACCACCGATTAGAAATGAATTCGCCTCAGTGGCATCTCATCCTCAGATCATAATGTGGAACCTAGCAGTTCGGGATATTTTTAAAAGCTTCTATCGAAATGACAGTCCCCTAAACTCATGTGGCGAACTACAGCTTAATAAATACTTATCGAGTAATGTCAGGCGATTGAAGGAATCACATTTTTGTACTCAGTAAAACTTTCATAACCTTTAATTCATCACAGATATAAAGCAGAAATGTACCCGTAGTCTACAGGTTTCCTTTGCTGTAATTGTTTTGCTTCTCCGGTTGTTTGAGATAAACACTAGAGTATTATGGCTTTTATGTAATATTTTTAATTAAGCGACACTTTCTGAATTCCCACGATCCAATTTTTCTCATGATTTTGAACATGTTTTCGCAAAACTTATAATAATCACATTATAACGCCATGTCTTTGTCTAATTCAGTGGTCAGGAGGTATAACATGAAAAAAGTAAACCAAAATGACCTTGTTATTTAACATTGTTTCTTTAGCTTCGAACATCACCGCCTCAGCCTCTAATTGTAAACTGCGACGCTTTTGTGCCTCTAGTAAACTTTCCAAGGCATATTTAGATATCTCTTCCTTTTCCAAATATTCCAACAGTTCATCTCTTTCCCCTTTAACTTCTGAAAAACTAAAAAGAACTTGCTGTGAATTGGATTTAAAATCGTTTACTATATTATTACGCTTTAAATTACAAAAGATATAAAGTGAGTTTTGACTAGACAGTAAATATCCACTGAATCGTGGTGTGAAACAGGGGTTCAAGACATTTTACTGTAGGCTTAGATGGCGGTTGAATATGTCAATGGGAAGTCTATAGGGAATGATTAATATCAAAATGATGAACTCAGTATCATACACGAGAGCTATAAACTGGCAGAAAAAGACGACGACGCAGTTACACGCGAAGAGGAATGTTATTGATTTAAACTAGTATAAAACCCTCCAAGTTTTTATATTAACAATAAAATTACACCGAACACCTTAAACACGAGCGTTTTTACCTCCTCAGTCTGAGCCATGATCTTTGCAAATTGAGTATTCTTAATCAGCAGACAAAATAACTTATGAAAATGGTCAGAAGATTTGAAAGTCTGGACGGTTAGACAAACAGAGATAAGTGAGATAACTTAGAAATACAGAACTGTAATAAAATTACATTTAGGTGTACAAAATGATATGGAGTTAGCAAGAACATGAACATGGAATGAATTCCTGGCCATTGATGTGTCCTTTACACGTGCTAATACGCAGATGACATTTCAGAAACCAATATACAATAAGGATGGAAGACTTGAGTACTCTATGGTTGAACGATAGCTCAATGCTAACTTGCCCAAATCAACGAGGAAGAACAAAGACCAGTGACCAGCAATCTAAGGTGTTGCTTTGCATTCCAGACATTCTTTTATATACACACTCGACCAGACCGAATTGCACCGATAAATAGAAGTTAACAACTATACATGAGTGGACCAAAAATGGCTGTGAGTGAGGGAGACTTCGAATCATAAACTAGTAGCATATTAAGAACAATAAACCATGTAAAGTTAATAAGTACTAATCCATAAACTAGGTTTTTGAGTTACTACTTACTTCAGTCCTCATCCAGATATTACAGTCATAATCTTCTGTCTGAATGAAGACAGTTGACCTAAATACATGAATCGAAAGTGATTTTGATTTGCGAAAGAGCAAACTAGATTCCAGTGGAGGAAGAAGCTCTGGAAGTGGATAGGACAAACATTGTGGACAGCACCCAGCTGCCTCACAAGACAAGCCCTCACTCGAAACCCTCAAGGTCAGCGGAAAAGATGAAGGGCAAGAAACACGTTACGCCGAGAAATGGAGGCAGAAGTGACAAAAATGAAAGAAAATTGGTCACAACTGGAAAGAGAGGCCCAGGACAGAGTAGGTTGGAGAATACTGGTGGGCGACCCATGCCCCATTGAGGGTAACAGGCGTAAGTAGGCAAGTATTGATTTTGAGTTATGGCTACCAATGAAGTCTAGGGAACAGTGCTCTTCCCGTAAGTGACTCTTTGGTCGAATATACTTGTGTTTCAGTATTGAATTTCATATGGAAACTCGAAACTAATGCCTGGCTTTACAAAATGATACCATTTATATAACTTCGTACCTCTTAAAAAGTCAAATTCTGGTGCATAGACTACCAATCTTGAATTCCTAAACAGGATACTACCCTTCGATATTAGGCTGTATCGTTATACTTTTCATCATAGAACTATGGAGATTGCTGTTTTACATTGAAATCGTGAATCATAATAATGTAAAATGAACGAGCTATTGCGTGGCGAGTAAGATTTAATCCAAATTTGTTTAGATTCAAAACAAACACCGAGTGTCCACCACATTCATACAATTAGCTACCCTGGGAAATTTTATCAATAAGGGCAAGAATAACAGGACAATTTAAATACCCTTTGAACAAAGCTTTCAACAGTGAGCAGCTTGGAGCTACGGAAAACAGCATAACCGGAAACAAAAGTTTGGCACACTTTATTCGACAAAGCTGAAATATATGGCCGTAAAAACCGAAGACCATGATTGGGGAAATAAGACACAGGGTATAGTACCAAATATATTTAGGACTAAACCGTAGTTATATATTATATATTATCCATCATTGAAAGTGGTGTGATAGTTGTCGCTATTCATGGTGAAATCAGTAATCGATTCCATGCTTATTTGTGGTGATCAAAACTGGAACATTTTGAAGGCTAAAGTTGGCGGATAAACAAGAAGCAAGACAATTTAGTATGGGTTGAAACGTTCAGTGTGAATAATTTTCCAACACACTTTTAGACAAACGGTAAATATGTTAGCTGCTTCCATCTTTAATTTGCCATACGTAATAAGAACCTTGTGGCGGTTTGGCTGCGACCACAGAAATAAGAAAGCATAACAAACGACAAAACCTACACATATTTACGAACGCACATATCTCTCGGCAAAGGTATCGTTGTGTCAGTCAGTCAGCTACAATTTAGAACTTCGTACGTATGTACATTTGTACAAGTTGCCATAGCACATTAGCACGGAGATCGAATTGTCAATTTAAATCCCATACTGGTAGTATTACTATGTTTGTAACAACTAATTTTCCGACGCCTACCTATACACTGTATTCCATTTCCTCTAAATTCGTCATAACCCCGATCAATCAATCACATAATCTCATCTGGTATGAAAAAGAAAGCCCATTATTAGCACATTGCAACATTTTAATGCAGGTATAATGCAAGTGTGATCCAAACTAACACACTACCTTTCCGAACAAGGATTGGAACTCCATGTTGATTAGGCCTCGAGAGTACCATGATCATCTACCCTTTACTGTAGTATTACAGTTAAAATATACACCGTTATTCAAAATACCGTAGTAAAAATAAGTCAAGTGACTCAAAATCAGGGTATGAAATTCGATTTCTAAACTTAACTGTCGAGCCTACTCACAGCCCTAAAACAAGGATAAATGAGTGACAGTAATCTGATGAGATGGAAGTGATAAACAAACTTTATCTAAAAATATCAACAAATAATTGACATCGAATAAATATCCCATATACACGACAACATAAACCATATCTTCTAAAACTATACCTGTGAAGCTTCTGACTCAGATGATCCTCTCTTGCTGAGTGTTCTTCGATGGCATCTTCTGCCAACTGTAAGTGGCGAAGCAACTCTGCGATTTCTTCGAATAACAATTCTTTTTCATGTTTCAGCTGATAATACTTTTCTAGAATACAACTAACATTTTGTACTAGGTTGGGTTTCGATAATTAGCCATACTGTTTAGGGACTTCATCATAACTAATGTTTGCACACAACATATGCAACTTCAGCCTTTGGTTGGTTTGCGTCTAGCCAGTAGGTACCTTTTGTGCTAGGGGGATGTGAAGAGCAGTGTATGAGATTATCTGCAAGAAGCCGACGACTCAGTAAGCACATAGAATGCACTTACATGCAATATTGGAATAAACAGGCAGCAACCATATATAAGGCTAGCGTGTGATTAAGACAAACTGACAAACGAAACCAGGAGTTGATAGAGTAACGTTTTGAATGCGTTACACATATTGGGAATGAAAAGCGCGGGAACAGAGTTGTCATGGTAACATCCATTATACAATATCTTTATTTCCACGAAACAGTACAAACCACTTGCTTTCTAAAATTTAGTATCTTTTTCACGAGCTAGGATAAATTAATTGATTGTTTGTGCTCTGTTCTTGCTGTTTCGGTAGTGTTCTAGGTATTTTGCACTTGACTGCCTAATTTTTGTCAGTTGGTTGTTGGCTATAAGTTTGTGTGTCCAGTGATTTGAATGAAAACGTGTTTGTTTCAGGGTAGTAGGGTTTCTGGATACCAGCAGCTTTCAAATTAACAGACCGTGGATAAGTGGTTTGAAATGTGGCGAATATTAAGGAGAATAATTTAATGCTAATAAGAGTAAGATTTCAAGACTAAGTAAATAATGGATAATTTAGTTTATTAATTGGTAATGAAAAGTTTGAGAGAGGACTGGAGTGCAAACGCAAGAGGAGAAACAGAGATAATAGGCGAAGTGCATTCAGTTAGTGATGTGAGGAGGCTGTAGTCATAAGGACTAGCAAGTTTCAGAGCATGCGTCAGAAACAGCTTGTCCACGAGGCAGATGATGATCCGTGTGTGAGTACGTGTTCATCAAGTCTGTTCTTAAAGCTTTCCACTGATTGGTATGTAGTCACCTCGATTGAGAGATCGTTTCAAGTTGGAATGTATCCTAATAAGAATAAGTGTGCACGAACCTGGTGAGTATTAGTTCTTTGGTGCGCAATTTTTCGAGGACTTCCACGAGTGGAGTGGTGGTGAAGCAGAGGTATGATGCGCATGTTGGGATGGTTTGGCCTGCTTAATATGCTGTACACCATAATCGGATCACCTCTCATTATCCGGTAGTTTACGTTGAATAATCCAAAGTGCTGGAGTCTATCTTCGTAAGGATTGTTCTTCAAATTTATAACCGATTTCGTTGCTCGTTGCACTCGATCCAAGAAATTTGTGTCTCTTTTATGGAGATAGGTTGCGACGACGTTCTTAACTGCAATTTATTGGGTCATGGTCTTGAACAGCGTCAAGAATAATCCTAGAGTGAAGGCACAAATTTGTCTTCTAAGAAAACGAACAGTTGCATTTGCCTTGTCTGCATCCCCTACACATTTTGAACTGATGTGGAGGAATTAGGTGGTAATTAAAACCGAGATAGCGCTCTGAGAAAACATGATGGAGCGGAATTCCAGTTAAGGTGAAAGTCTTTTTTCGTCATGTGAGGTAGAATATAAATGAGGTGAAATTTCTGTTGGTTAAGATTTAAACCGTTTCTCACTGCTCAATCCTCAATAGATGTATGGTCTTTTTTGAGCTCAGTCAAGTCATCTTCACCTATAGCGGACATCCAGATCTTTGCATCGTCTGCGTAGATCAATGCCGGCGAGCTAATCGTGCATTAAAGAGTCGCTCAAGGAAAACAGGAGGAGAAGTGAACCTGAGATGATCACCTCTGAAACTCTCGATGTTAAGACTCGCCAAATCACGTGCACTCTATTCAACTTTCTATTCTCAAGATAGTTTCTGGGCCAAGATTGAAGTGGCTCAGTGAAGCCGTTACCGCAACCTTTGCGATTAGACATGCGTGTAGTACTGTGTCGAAGGCTTTTTGAAAGTATGTAAATTTTAGATGCACCGGTCCCAGCAGCATGTCCAACACTTCCATGATATCAGAAGACTGGATGCGTACGACCTGCCTTTACGAAGCCCTTGTTAAGCTACATGGAGTATTTTATTATTATCCATGAGCGCCTTCATCTGTTCGTTCACCGGCTCTTCCTTTACCTTCTATAATATTGGTAGTAGCGCGAACGGTCGGCGGCCTGCTGGATCCTTGCTATTGCCTCCTTTGAAGATTATGAAGAGAGTAGCTTGTTTCCATTGAGCTGGAAGTTGGTGTGACTGCAGTAAATAACTAAACAGGTCAAACATCGGTGAACGATGCTTCTGCACATTGTTTCAAGACAATTAGGCGAAAGTTGTCACAACCTGGTGATTTTCCAGAGCTTAAGTGTTTTAGTTGCCTTAGTAATAAAACAGGAGTTTTACGGATATTACAGGGCGCAAGGATTGAAATTTTCTAACTTCTAGATCAGGAGCAAGTCGAATAATCACTAGATCATCAAGTGATACTATGTCCTAGAAGGGAGAGTGGTGGATTTGAACATCATTCATCAAAGTGAGGCAATCACCTCAATCTACTTATGTGTATGGGGCAGAACATTTGGTTCGCTCACGGCTCCTCACAATATAGCAGGATGTAACTAATCAATCATATTGATCTTACTTTTCCTCATTAACCTCGTCTACGACTCATGTTCGTAACCTTGCACTGGTTCCAACTTCCTACAAAGAAATCCTATTACAAGCAGATCTAGAGGATTGTGATGAAGTTATTTTAGTCAGTTTTATGGTACATGTATAATGAACCGAAACCTTTTCCAATGTAAGCAATCTATAGTCAAACGTACTATTGACGATGTCAAGGATTTTCAGATTTGGTCAACAGTCATATCCGCAACACCTTTCTGGTCGAGGATACCGTAAACCAAGTCGAATCAGAATTCATGAATGATGAGAATCGAGGGGGTATTTGAATGATGGTTTTGAAGTCGAGACGTGAGTGGACAAGGCTTGCTGGTTGGTGCGAGGAGATGCGTTGCACGACGAATTCAGGATTCAAGTTCTATATACTTTTCGTTGAGAAATAAGTTCTAAATTGGTGATCGATTCGGGATCAACAGTCTGGAATGTCAGTATTTAGCAATAGTAAGCTTAATAGTGGAACGAAAAGCCTAGTGCTTCGCAGTGTGATCAGCATTTAGAGGTTGGAGCTTCCTCGTTGAGAAATCATTCGGAGCGCCTATCTATGATTGGCCATATTCATGGTAGTCATCGGGGTTCCATAAGGTCGTTCTGTGTTAAGGTATGATAATGATTATTTAGTATCAACTATCAACATGACAAAAGAAACATGCCTGATATATGACTGCGGACACTGCATCATGTCAAACAAAAGCTAGCGAAGAATTAATTTCAGCGGTAACCGGACATATCCGTTCTAAACCAACATTGAGCTTGATGATGACACGAGAAAGAGCGTTATGCATAATTGGAAAGGTCGTCTTGTTTTTCCTTGATCTTCTCAGCTTATACGAGCGATATTTGCGATTGCTTCACTATATTTGGCTGTCCCCAGGAAAAATTTTGATTCGGCTGGTATTGCAGTCCACCACCGTTTCTAGTAATGTCTTGATGACACAGCTCGCTACTAAAGTTAAATTTATACGGGGAGGTTTCAGCTTGGGGATGGTTTGACATATACGAGTGCCAGTTGTTATAACCTTTTCTATATTTGAGGGTCACGTTTACCAGCTGGCTTGGTAGAGCGGAATGCGAAGAGTTTTCATTCTCAGCGTTTTTGCGAATAAAAGCCCGGGTATGTCGGATATGGTGTGGAGTGAAAAACCTTCCATTTCCACTTTCACTAATAATTCTAGGATTTGGTGGTTGAGCAGTGCACCTAGCTCTTGGATAATTATTATTTGTGTGCATGATCAGATGTTGGTCTGATATGTTCTTAATATTATCAGTCTTACAACTTGGAGAGGCTAGGGGCACATCACATGACATTAAAGGAGTGAACCTGTTCATCGTAGCTGGGAAAGTCGCAGGCGAGCAGGTTTGACTCCTACCTTTTTTCTTACTTGAGACCCAGGATTTAATCAGTTCACTCTTCTTAGTTGAAGACGGAGGATATTTTGGACCCATGGACGTGTTTTTCTAAAAGCCGTTAGTTTCTATCGTATAATCTCGTGCCTTCGACAAAGAGCAGTGGGATAAATACTGCACAACCCTCGGAATGTGCAGTGTCCTAGCCAAAATATGCCGCCTTTTCAAAGGTCGAAATGTCTCGAAGTTAAAACCCCCTCCAATTGGGTAACTCGATTCGGCACGACTTTCTGAAGACATCATCCTTTCATCCCAAAGACCATCGGTCAAATCGTCCTCCCCGATGCGCATGAACGATTGTGTGATGTTTAGAGAAAGAGTAGGGGTGCCAGAATCCCTTCGTGCAAAAGTGCTGAGACAGTTCCATCTTGGTCATTCAGGGGTAAAACGAATAAAGCCCATAGCCAGGAGCATCCCTGGCCTCTCGTGGATCAACATGTCACAGCGTTAGTTGAAAAATGCATGCGGTGTCAGCAAGTGGCAAAGATCAATGCCAAAGCTCAGCCGGTTTCAAGGCTCCAAATTTGACCATCCCTGGTCCAGGATAGATGTAGATTTCGCTGACCCAGTAAAGTGAACTGTGTATTTAGCTGTGGTCGACGTCTTCTCGAAATGACTAGAAATCAGCCCCATAATGCGGCCCACGACAACTAAGACAATGCAGCTTCTCACCGAAATTTTCTCTATGAATGGCATTCCAGATGCGATCGTATCTGACAATAGGTCTCAATTTACCTCCACGCAATTCCAGACTTTCTGTCAACGGCTAGACATTAAACACTTACCCTCGCCACCACACCACACGTAATCGAATAGGCAAGCTGAAAAATTTGTGGATACGTTTAAAAGAGAACTGGTTAAGTCATAATGGGAGGGAACACCAGCCGATGCGTTAAAAAATTTCTTGCACGCCAGGCACCGAAGGGCAGGCCACCATGGCTGTTCAAGTTGTACCCGAACCCGCTGACGTTGAACTGGTCAAAGCTGACGAGCATGATGTGCATCAGTTGCT